ATATATTATAAAATCCAATTACAGAAGTAACAAAAGTAACAGAATTGGAAGGCACCTGGAGGTCCTCTATTCCAAATTTCTGCTCTTGCACCATTTCAGACAAATGGACATCAAATCTCTTCTTGAAAACCTCCAGTGATGGAGTGCACACAACTTCTGAAGGCAAGTTGTTCCATTGATTAATTGTTCTCACTGTCAGGAAATTTCTCCTTAGTTTTATGTTGATTCTCTCCTTGATTAGTTTCCATCCATTGCTTCTTGTTCTGCCTCCAGGTGCTTTGGACAATAGGTTGACCCCCTATTTTTTATGTCAATCCCTGAGATATTGGAACACTGCTACCATGTTGTGGTTAGTAGAAAGCTTTGACAGATGGGCAGACTAACCCATAGCTATCTCTATAAACTCATGGGAACCTTTTTCTAGGTTTTACCTGTGCAAGTCTGCAGTGGGACTGCTCAGGCAAAGCAGAACTGAACTCTAAAACAAAGCCAGAGCACTACAAAAATCACTTCTGGTTTTGTCTCCTGCTTTACAATGTCAACACTCACTCTGGGATTTCCCTCCCCCTTGCCATAAGTTTAGCCTTGGCACAAAACTTTCAGCTGCTTGATTCCTCACTTTGCCTAGGAAGCTGGCTTCCCCAGGCAAGGTGGGTAGGCAAAACAGAAGTGAATTCTTACACCTCTCCAGTTTCACAGAGATGGCCTTGTTTCAGTTTCTCTGAAACCTATAGATGCATGGTAACAAGTCAATAAAGAATGACATGATTCTTATGATAACACCAAAAATGGAAAGAGCATAGAAGCCATACTCCACCAGCCCATCCTGTATGGCTCTCTTCTACGTGTTGCCGGTTCTGTCAAATCAAAGAAAGCAAAAAGGTTGGGATGCAAAACAGAAATCTGACATATTAATACTATAGAGTTTTCAATCAGACAGAAACATGAGAAAATGAGGACCTATTCAAACACAGGCTACTTTCTCAATAACGATTTGTAGCATCCTCTAATGCTTTCATAGGATCAGCACAGCAATGGGTATTGGATAGCGTCTTTAGTTATCTACGTGGAACCCTTTGTAACAACCTGAACATATGTTAATAAAAACCAGGATATTCAGCAATAGTCTAAAACTATTTGAACAATTCACTGTCCAAATATTTTAGCAAAATTTTCAAAGCAAAATTTTAGGATGCCTCTTCCTTGAAGTATTTCTTTGCAAAATTGATTCCTTTAATGTCAATTAAAATATTTGTTATATTTACCTATGTGATGTGGCTATAACAATATTATTATTTATTCTTCTTATTATCTTATTTACTCCTCCTTTAATAGGTATGATTATTTTATTGGTATTGTTATCATCTCTATTATTATTAATCATCATCATCTTCATCATCATCGCACAGTCAGCCAGATGTTCAGTCTGGGTTTGGCATTTTTATTTACCCATTGAGTCCTTATCATCATCATCATCATCATCATCATCATCATCATCATCATCATCATCATCATCATCATCATCATCATCTCTTTTATTCATTAAACATAAAACTCAGTCAATTGAACATTGAAAAATGGATCCCAAATATCATTTACTGCTACTGATGGTTGATAAGGGTTGCTGCATCCTATGTATCAACCAAATATCTTCTTAAAATATAAGATGTTCCGAGTAGCACAGTTTTTTGNCCATATAGGCTTCTGAATAGATTGGAATCAGCTATTATACCCAAATGAGTAAATAATGCAGAGCATAGTAATACAACATACATAATAGTGATTATATTCTTGATTAAGATGCTATTAGACACTTCTAGTCATGTCCAATATTTATGACTGGCTGCACAAGTTGAGGGAGGGGAAATTCTTTTCCTTCTGAGGGCTAAATCTAACTTTGAGGCCTTTCCAGGTCATAGCTGTTGAGGGGAATCCATTATAACCAATCATATGGAATGACTCTTAAAGTCCTTTAAAAATGGGGTTCAGCTTCAAAGCTAATGGAAAAAACATTCTTGCATTCTTGCATATGATTTTCATTGACAGGCAACATAACGAAGATATCACACAGGTGGGATACTTACATTGCATCATCTGTTACTCTATATATATATATGGCCTCCCACTCACCACTAGTGATCTGGATTGCCTTTTCCTACAAAAACAACATATTGAAAGTCAGGTATTTTATTCCGCAGCACATCTCTTGCAACACAGGTGAACTTTAGATTGGTTCTTTGGTTGACCTACCACTGAGTCTTTGATGTAGTGAATGTGTTTATAGCCATTCTGGTCACTAAAAATTTTGTAGTAGGATATGTCATCTGAAGTGAAATAGGGTACTGAAACAAAGAACTGATAGACAACAATAATAAACTGTAGGCGAAACAGAAATTAATATCTTTGAGAAGTGAATGAAAATTATGCAAAATATAGTAAATACCTTGTTTCTCCGAAAATAAGACCTTCCCGAAAATAAGGCCAAGTGCTTATTTCGGGGGTCAAAAGAATATAAGACCCTGTCTTATTTTTGGAGAAACACGCTATATATTATAAAATCCAATTACAGAAGTAACAAAAGTAACAGAATTGGAAGGCACCTGGAGGTCCTCTATTCCAAATTTCTGCTCTTGCACCATTTCAGACAAATGGACATCAAATCTCTTCTTGAAAACCTCCAGTGATGGAGTGCACACAACTTCTGAAGGCAAGTTGTTCCATTGATTAATTGTTCTCACTGTCAGGAAATTTCTCCTTAGTTTTATGTTGATTCTCTCCTTGATTAGTTTCCATCCATTGCTTCTTGTTCTGCCTCCAGGTGCTTTGGACAATAGGTTGACCCCCTATTTTTTATGTCAATCCCTGAGATATTGGAACACTGCTACCATGTTGTGGTTAGTAGAAAGCTTTGACAGATGGGCAGACTAACCCATAGCTATCTCTATAAACTCATGGGAACCTTTTTCTAGGTTTTACCTGTGCAAGTCTGCAGTGGGACTGCTCAGGCAAAGCAGAACTGAACTCTAAAACAAAGCCAGAGCACTACAAAAATCACTTCTGGTTTTGTCTCCTGCTTTACAATGTCAACACTCACTCTGGGATTTCCCTCCCCCTTGCCATAAGTTTAGCCTTGGCACAAAACTTTCAGCTGCTTGATTCCTCACTTTGCCTAGGAAGCTGGCTTCCCCAGGCAAGGTGGGTAGGCAAAACAGAAGTGAATTCTTACACCTCTCCAGTTTCACAGAGATGGCCTTGTTTCAGTTTCTCTGAAACCTATAGATGCATGGTAACAAGTCAATAAAGAATGACATGATTCTTATGATAACACCAAAAATGGAAAGAGCATAGAAGCCATACTCCACCAGCCCATCCTGTATGGCTCTCTTCTACGTGTTGCCGGTTCTGTCAAATCAAAGAAAGCAAAAAGGTTGGGATGCAAAACAGAAATCTGACATATTAATACTATAGAGTTTTCAATCAGACAGAAACATGAGAAAATGAGGACCTATTCAAACACAGGCTACTTTCTCAATAACGATTTGTAGCATCCTCTAATGCTTTCATAGGATCAGCACAGCAATGGGTATTGGATAACGTCTTTAGTTATCTACGTGGAACCCTTTGTAACAACCTGAACATATGTTAATAAAAACCAGGATATTCAGCAATAGTCTAAAACTATTTGAACAATTCACTGTCCAAATATTTTAGCAAAATTTTCAAAGCAAAATTTTAGGATGCCTCTTCCTTGAAGTATTTCTTTGCAAAATTGATTCCTTTAATGTCAATTAAAATATTTGTTATATTTACCTATGTGATGTGGCTATAACAATATTATTATTTATTCTTCTTATTATCTTATTTACTCCTCCTTTAATAGGTATGATTATTTTATTGGTATTGTTATCATCTCTATTATTATTAATCATCATCATCTTCATCATCATCGCACAGTCAGCCAGATGTTCAGTCTGGGTTTGGCATTTTTATTTACCCATTGAGTCCTTATCATCATCATCATCATCATCATCATCATCATCATCATCATCATCATCATCATCATCATCATCATCATCATCATCTCTTTTATTCATTAAACATAAAACTCAGTCAATTGAACATTGAAAAATGGATCCCAAATATCATTTACTGCTACTGATGGTTGATAAGGGTTGCTGCATCCTATGTATCAACCAAATATCTTCTTAAAATATAAGATGTTCCGAGTAGCACAGTTTTTTGCAGTACTACTGATGTTATTGCAGGAAGCTGCAATTTCTTGATGTATTTTGTAAAATTCTTGAACATGGTACCAAGTGCCCCAATGACAATGGGTATCACTGTTACGTGTTTTATCCATAATCACATACTTTCAATGGCCAGGTCAAGATATTTTGTGATTTTTTTTCCAGTTTTTTCCCCTCGACTCTGGCATCTCCTGGTAAAGTGATATCAATAAATTGTACACTGTGATATCTGGCGTGTTGTTTTCCAAATGACGATCTGTCTGTATTTGAAAGTCCCACAAGATCTTCACCTTCTCATTTTCAACAACTTTTTCCACTTTATGTTCCCATGACTTTTCGGATACAGATAAATTGTACTTTTTACATAATGACCAGTGGATTAATTTAGCAACTCGATCATGTCTAGCTTTGTAATCAGTTTGGTGATTTTACTGCACTCACTTGTTGTTAGTGTTGTTGTTGCTGCTGTTGTTATTCTGTTACTTCATGTATACTGTGTGCTTCTGTACCAGAGACAAATTCCTTGTGTGTTTTAATCACTCTTGGCCAAATAAAATATTCTATTCTATTCTATTCAAACTCAAATAATAGATACACAAACTTTTGTAGGACTCTGTAAGATTGTTCAGAAGCTTGTTTAGAAACTTGAGGAAGTGTAGCATGGTTTATCAAGGATGCAAGAATCTGGATAAGCATCAGATGGCAGCAAAAAACCTCCAACATTGCTGCTATTGAGTGGTCATTCAGAATTTGTAACCCAGATATGGTAGCCTTGAGCAAGGTGACTATTTAAACTTGTATTCAATGTTTATTTATTGGGTATATTTGCTGATTTGCTGATTTTTTTTTTAGTAGGACGTTTAGAATCCACTCTGGATTTGCAGAAAAGTATTTCTTATCATTATTTGCCCACTGCTTCTAGTATATGAGAGAGTCCACATTGTTTACGCCTTATTACTTCCGGTTTAATCGGAAAACAAAGTATGAAATGGAAATTTATTCCCCTGAGATCTTTTCAGCAAACACAGCTTAATGGAGTTCTCCATCTGTTGGCACTCTTGTTAACTGACCATTGGTGTGCAGAGTGATACGATAAAAGCACTTTTAAAAAAGAAGATAATAGTGGTTTTAGCCACATGTTTCCTTCAGTAAGAACATGCTGAGGCATGCGATTTTTTTACTGCCTTTTGGATCTTCCAGGGCAAAGTTGCTGATCATTTTGGTTCTCTATCTAATCACAACTTTTCAGAGGGACAATCGTAAGATGAAATATTGGCCTTATAGGTTTTCCATTCAGCAACTTGAACTCTAATACATACTCGCATATCATGATACGATTTAATATGGCTGATTTGAGTTTGATGCAACCAGGGGTGGGAATCTACCGGTTCGGACAGGTTTGGGGGAACCGGTAGCTCCAATGATCAGCTAGGAGTGAACCAGTTTGCCCCGACGATCAGATGGGCCCGCCCGCCCACCCATACTATTTTTCTACTTTTATCTTCTCAGCTGATTTGTGCAGCAGAGCAGATTGCCATGCGGATCTGCTGTGCTACCCTTCTGAAGAAACCCGGAAGTGAAGATTTCTTTAAACTGCATATGTGCAGATAAATTGCACGATCACCGAACTGGTTGTTAAACCCAGAGGAACCCACAACTGGATGCGACCATACTCTTTGTAGTTTGTAGCCAATGTATGACTTAATATGTTTTTAAACCAGGCCACTAAGGATCAGCAGACCCTCAGTCAAAGATCAAAAATGAAACGGAGGAGAAAAGGCTGTAAGAGGGATGAGTAAAAACCAATTCCCTATTCTCACCATTAATTGGTCCTAGCAATATTTTTTCTGGGATCAGATATTCACATAAGACAACTTAGGATCACACCTTAATTCGGAAGTAATATTTTTTCCCCTTCCTTTTGCACCTTAACTGCCCAGTTATGGTGAACCTTTATCAAATTGTTCGCTGATAGAGTTTTTGCTTTAAATCTTAGCTTGATGGGAAAATACTACCTCTGGGCAATCCCAAGATTTGGAGTGGTAATTGTAGTCACAGATTGCTGACAGGGAGAAGTTCTGGATCCTTTTCAACCACTGCACACAGATTCTGTCATCTGTTACCCAGGTAATCCAAGTGACATAGTGATCGCTAAAGAAAAAAGGAAAAAGAAGGGAGTCAGTGAATACAGGGAAAAGACAAGAAGGAAGCATACTATTACATTAATAACCTATCTATGATAGGTAGACCAGTTTAATAATATAGGTGTCAACTCTTAAGTGAACCTGGCTGAAGCCATCTTTCGCTGCCTCTTAGTTGCCATGAACCATGAGAGGGGAAAGGAAATAGATAGAGAAAAAGTTTTCCTGTGGGAACCAAGGTCATCTTAACAGGTGGCTGTGAAAGGAGGAGAGGAATGACCAAGCAGCCTGCAAGTTACTTTCATTGGACAATGTGACTGGTGACATCTGGGATGGGAAACCTTTACTCTTTTAATTAAGTGAAAACTGTGGGAACTTTTAGAGTTGGCTTTCAACAGCTGTGCTGATATGAAATATCTAATAAACATGTTCTTTGAGAAATCTACCCAACTTGGAGTTATGCTTTCAATGGGTGTGTTACTTGGAACGCTGACAATAGACACGAGAGGCCAATTTAATGCCATATCTGAATTTTAAAAGTTGAAAATTTAAAGGTTATTAAAGCACCACCCAAATTCTTTGAACAAGTGGGCCAGGCTCCTTAGTGTCAGCACTCTTGTATTGCTATAAGCAAGCAGCTGAAATGGTTTCTATCACTAATGAGAATTACGCCTTAACTTTTCCTTTATAGCAGTCCTTGATCCGGAGGCTATATTATAAGTTTAACACAGAAAGAAAATTTCAGGGGGAAAGACTCCCAAGACAAATTACTGAAAACAATTGCTATTCTTCTAGGAGGAAAAACAGGAACTGAGGATTTTAAGAAAATATCACCTTGATGCTATGACTGGTGGTGCAAGTATTTCCTTTGGTCCAAAATCACTAGGATTTGTCGTATCTATAATCAACACTCTAACAGTTGGATTTTTAGCTCCAGCCTTCAAGGAAAAGTAGGAACAAATTGATTAAACAAAATTTTAATGACTTTAATTACAATATTTAAATAAAAGAGCTAAGTAAAGTTCTATAAAGTTATTTTATTCTTTTTAGGCACAAATAGGGTGCTTTTCCATTTCCAGACAACTTGGGATCCTGTTGAAAATATGTCTTAGCTAGAAATTTATTCTGAGAAGTTCACAGTACACTCAAGTCATTAACCAAGCCAGTTATAAACACTGAGCAAATAATATAAAGATTATAATCTCATGGGAGAAGTCTTCTGCCCTGTTGTCTTCAAAAGTAACAGAGGATGTCTAACATCTGCTACTTCAGATTCTATGCCCTTCCTTCTAGGTTTGCTAAGTATTTTCAATAGGAGTTATATGTGAAGGGAATTGATTAGGTCTTTCAAAATGTTACAGTGGTACCTTGGTACTCAACTGCTTTGAAACCAATTGAATTTGGTACTCAACAAATTTTGACATGAAAATTTGTCTCAGTACTCATCATTTGTTTGGTGCTCAATGTACAAGCTAGAACTTATTGGTGTTGGCTGCCTTGTGACTCACTATAATATTTCTGATGGGAAAAAATATTGGGTACTCATTGTTTTTGGTACTCATCATATTTTCCAGAACTAATTAATGATGAGTGCTGAGCTACCACTATATTTTAATAATACAGGATACACAAGCTGGATTTCCATTTAGGATAGGCATAAGCAACACTATCCTAAAGGTTTATTTATTTTAGACTTGTTTTTTTCCCCACCAAAAGCTACAAGCAGAGATTCATGACATTATAACAGCACCAAAAGGAGCTCTTCCCATTCTGTTTTTATTTCAGAGGGGTAAGGGTAGTGGTGGGATTCAAATAATTTAACAACAGGTCCTCTGTCCTAATGTTTTCTTACAACAGCCAGTTCACCAAACTGCTCAGAAAGTCAACAACCGGTTCTCCCGAACTGGTGCAAACTGGTTGAACCACACCACTGGGTAGGGGTTACGTTTTATAGGTGCGAAGATAACTGCAAAGGTAATACACCTATTTTATTTCATTTTTTGCAGAAAACCAGCAGGAATCACATTTTACAAATTGTTGGCTGGCTGTCATACTTCAGGCATGTGATCTTGGGTGGGGGAAGCTATAGGATTGAGGCTCTTAGACTTCAAGGCACCCTTTCAAAAACTTCTCAATTATACTATTTAGCGAGGTTTTTAAAATGTCAGTGGTTACATTTGGTATAGCTATTCAACATTCAAATCTACAAGAGAGCCGAGCTTAATGCTAAAAGAAAAATAAATAAACAAAGCACATTTACCTTTGGATATGGAAGAGTTATTTTTCTAGGATATTGATTCTCACCATAATATGAGTATTCCATAACTGGGATTTCAGTATCATTGAACTCTATGTATGCTATGTTCTTGCCATTTGATGACCACCACATAGCATATTTTGCCCCAAACATTTCTTCTATAAAAAAAACAGATTAAAGGACATTGTTGTTCTGGTTGCAAAATTGTACAACGTACTACATGGTGTAGTGCTATCTTTAAAACCATGCCAGTATCTTAATCTACCTACATATATGTAAAATCATTAATCTGACAGATCACCAGTCAGTTTTGGGGTAACCAAGGAAGAGAAAGCAGAATCGCAGAGAAGTAACTATGAAATTGCTGAGAGGGGAGGAAAATCATAGCAGAGAAATATCAGCCCATTTGTGGGAAAACTGGTCAAAAGCCAAAACTTAAGAGTTGTCCTAGAATGGTTGGACAGATTTGAGGGCAAGAAGTGTATGTTTTTTCATTTTTTACTCCTGCCTTCTAGTCCGGGAGAACAATGATCTAAAGATGCAAATAACCCAGAATCAAATGATTTCACTGAACTACTTCACAGAAATGAAGGCTGGCATGCATCCAGTTAATACTCACATGGGGAATAAACAGCACAAAAGTGCCTTGGTTATAATCATACTTTCCAGAGGGCTATAAATGGCAAATATCTCTCTTTCCTTCTCAGTGTTTGCGGCTTATGGTTGTGTTACAAGTGCCATAGATAATGCACATATTCATTCTCATGAGCTCAATGAGCAATAACAATATTCTGAATAGCAATCACCATGAGGTACCTTGTTGATGGAAGTGTAGATCTTATTCTAGTTTCACTAAGGGTTATTTATTTACTTTGAACTTTATTGTCAGATATTCTGGGGAAGGGAGTTAAGGCCATAATTCTTCTCCTCTCCAATTTCATGTTGAATTGATATGAATTCACTAAATATGTCACATCTTACCTCCACCTTTGCACCCAGATATTGAGGGGTGGGAAGAAGGGGAGAAATGCATCGGTTTTATACATGATCAAAACTTAATTTACACTTTCCAAACTAATATGTAATACGGAACAAAAATATCTTGATACACACACACACATATACACACACAGTATGAATTTTCATTTTTATGAAAATTTTAAAAAACCCAATCAAGTTAAGCTTTCCTCATGTCTAGGGAAGCCTCTCCATTCCTAGAAACTCTTGGTCCAAGATTAGGCTTGGTCCAAGGCCACTAGTTGCTGATCTCTAAAACAGTTACTTTGTTCAGTAATCTAACATGTTAACCAGTGATGGTATTCAGCTGGTTCAGACCGGTTCTGGTGAACTGGTAGCTCCGATGATCAGCTGGTCCCGCCTACCTGCCCTCCTTCATTTCCTACTTTCTAGCTCATCTCAATCACGCAGCACAGCTGATATTCCCCCCAGCTGTTTTATTTACCATTGCTGACTTAGAAGGTAAGTGGCTGAGCTTCTAAATACTCCATTTTCAGGGCTGTACACAGGCACGAAGCCCACATGCACACAAAGCATGCACTCACTGAACCAGTTGTTAAACTGGCAGCATCCCACCACTGATGTTAACGTTCAAAACATACTGAGTAAGGTCAACCCGTGGTCCTATATAGACTCAAAAGGCATGAGGTCAAGCAGGGATTATCTTTGAAGGAAGGAATTGTGTTGTGTTTCATTCATACCTTCAATGCTCCCCCATGTCTATAACGGGATGGTCTAGGAAACTTCTTGCCTCAAAAGAGGATACTTTTTGCAAGGAGCCATGAAGAAGAAATCATCTCCCCTCCCCTTCCAAAAATTAGTACAAGCAATTAGTAGAGCTCTTCTACCTACTTAAGTCTGGAGCCACTTTACTGATTTCTCCAGGTTTGCAGAATTTACTCCCCATCTCTCTAATACAATTTTGCATTTAGTTCATAACTGCGTCTTTTTTTATTATATTCTCCTTGATTGGCATGGTCTTTTAGAAAGAAAACTACAACAAACTTTCTCCTAATAATGCAGGTACACAAGATACAAGAGACTCTTAAACTAAACATAATAAATAATTTTACAACATCTATTTTGAAACAAAAGTGGTTTTTTTGCCATAAAGAGGAAGAATGATACGATCAGAAAATATGAAAAATGGAAGAGACAGGATGTTGAGCAACTGTAGACTTTGTGGAAAATATTAACACAACAATAAGTTATAAAGAACACATTTTGACTCATTTGGAGGTATTACTACATCACTTTATTGCTCAAGTCTTATCATCCTAAATCATAACACTGCTTTCAAAATGCAATTTACCTTCATAAACCCAATCAGGAATTCCATTAAATATTTCATTCCAGTAACCATTTGTGGTTATTTGAATAGCAGCTTCTCTGGGATTTTGTTTGAAATAGATATTATTCTGGTAAATAAAAACCTAGAAGGAGGGAAAGAATCAATTTCTTTAACTCTAGAAGGTACAAATGATTTATGCAATCCCAAAATACTACATAGCACAGCTAAATATGGGACTCACTTAAAAATCATTTATCTTTGCAGAAGGAAAGTGGTCCAATTTTATTTTCCAGGCCACAGAGAAGAATCTCTGGAGAATCATGCAATGAAAAGTAGGAAGGTATAGGCTGGTATCTAACAGCCTCCTCTGAGATTAGCAGTGCTTTGTATGTGTGTTATATCATGTCCCTCCCATAATAATACATTACTTAATAAGCCTTCGGCTTTCCAAACATGTTAAACCAAAGCTCCTATCACCTCAGACATCATGACAAAAAACCTTATCGGTTGATAAAGTTGTAGTCCAACACATGCAGAGAGCATGAGATAAGAAATCTCTTAGATAAGAAATGCTTGCCTTAAGTTCTGAATCTGTAGGGAAGTCATATTTTACAAGTCACATTTGTTATATGAATAAAAGGAGATAACCATATATTATCTCCTGCTCTTATCTACTTTAGAATTCATCACCCTGGCAGATGTATGCCAAAAGTTAGAAAAGCAATGAAATGCCTATAACGAAAGACTGGATCATAAAATTAATTGAACCTGCAGAAATAGTGAAGCTGATCAGTTTGGTCATAGAAAAAAAATAACAGTGACTTTTTTTCTTTTAAAAAAGACTGAAACCCTTATATGGGCTTTTGCCATAAGAATAAACAAATGAATTGATGGGATTTGAGGATTAAAAATGAGATGAAACAGCTGGAAAAAAAATTAACATGACAATTACATCATCCAATAGAGCTGGGGCCTCAATACGTACATTTAAAGAAATAAATAACTCGGTGTGTGTGAAATCCAATACCAGCTAAAGAATTGGCAGCTGTGATTTCACATTTTTGTAATAAATAAATAATAATAAAATAATATTCAATAGAAAGAGTAGAAGGCACATTTTTGCAATTTTTTTCTTTCTCATTTCTTTTACAGGAACAGTCTTAGTCAAATTTCGGGCTGTGTTATGGTTTCTATTTATTGAGGGCAATCAGCTGATACCATCATCCCAACTATATGCAGCCCATTTGACCTTGTCTAGATGGACTAACTTAAGAACCATGACTTAAGGTCTGCTAGATGGAGAGAAGATGGAGAAAAGATGGAGAGAAGATGGAGAGGATCTACAGGAACATAGCCAGAAGTCCAGCTTCTGGATTTCTGTGTTTGGTATATCTCACTTGAGACAAACAAAAGTGTGTCACCCTAGAACAAACAATAACAGGTCCATGCTGAAGTGTTTACTTTATTTTAAACCACAGTTCTAACACACCATCTAGCTCTGTTTACAAATAGCGTTATTGTCAACATACAAAATTCTTAAGCATATTTGATAAACAGAAATGAGTGATGGCCAAAGAAACACCATAGGCACATCAAACTCAACCAGAAGGAACATTATTGTAACACAGTATTAATTACTGACCAATTTATGTCCAACAGGTGACCAGGAGATATGTTGAATATTATGTGGTAGCTCATATTCTTTGACAAAAACGCTACAATGGGGGAAAAAAATCATGGAATGACATAGTTTTCTTAATTCACATTTCTAATTAATTATTCAGTGCTTACGTGAAATTTAGAACCTGTACTTTTAGGACAGTTGATGCATGCTCCCCCAAACATCTGTTCATTCTTTATTGGCAAGCATATCTGCTCACAATGATATTTCAGCGATGTTAATACTGACTGTTGGAATTTTTTGATATCCAAAATACTTTGGGATTATTATTTTACTTAATAGGAAGCCATGAAAGAAATAAAAGATGCTACAGGGGTCTAAGAAGCCCACAAGCAAGATGTAAGTACAATGACACATTTAGTAGACATTTCCCAGTTATGTTGTGGTCCACCGGTGGCCTTTGGAGCTGGCAGCAGAGTCGGACAATGAAGAAGTTGGGAAGGAACATGGGCCATTCCCGAGGGCTGAGAAAAGCTCAGACAAGGGCTCTGCTTCAGAGGCAGAGAGGGAGCTAGACAGCAGTGAGGCAGAAGAACTTTGCTTTTGCTTTCTAAGGAAGACTGGGTCATAACCAGTTACATTTATTTATTTTATTTATTTAAGAAATTTTATATGAGAGGTTCTTGATCTTCCTTGAGCATGGTTGTTTTCTTGCAGACATTTCATTACTCAAACTAGGTAACATCATCAGTGCAAGTGAAAAGTCCTTACTAAAACCTTTGGTTCATTAGTTCTGAATTCTTGCAAAAGTGCTAGGTCCAGCCCAATGAAGACTTTGTAAGTGACTGATAAACAATTTAAATTGAGTTTAATACATTTAGTGGAAAACAAAATGAAGCACTCCAGTAGATGTTTGGGAATATCACTAGAGATAACAGATCTGTTTGAAATCGATTTTCTTCAATAACTTAATGATTCTCAAAAAGAGCATTGCATAAAGTTAAACATTACTAATGTTTTAGTCAACAGGAAAATAAATCTGTCTTACCCTAATTCAAGATCATAAATGTGATAGGATGCTGTGTAAGAATACCTCCAAAGCTGAAAGGTTACAATGGAGAGAGAAAAATAATTATTTTTGCTAAGTGTAAAACAAGTTATCTAATCTTCATAATGCTTTCTCTTGAGGTCTTTGTTCCACTCATTATCTCTGTTTTATTAAAGACAATGCAACCCAGTAAGCAATTTTCATAAAATGTAGGAGCAGTCATCACTATTTTTCAGTCATGAAGAAGTTTTTCAAAATGCTTTTTACTGATGTAAATATGTTTCCAGAAAAGGAACCAATTCATCACTGATCAGCATTATTATTATGGAATGGTGATACCACTAGATGGATGGATGGATGGTTGGATGGATGTGTGGGTGGATGGATATGGATATGGATATGGGTATGGGTATGGGTATGGGTATGGGTATGGGTATGGGTATGGGTATGGGTATAGGCATAGATATAGATATAGATGGCTTGGTGGGCGTGGTGTAGCTTGGTGGGCGTGGCAGGGAAAGGATACTGTAAAATCTCCATTCCCTGCAGTCAGCTGGGACTCGGGAGGCAGAGACTAGATGGGGGCGGGCGGCAGTCAGAGGTGGTATTACTGATTTTCTGTACTATCTAAAATTTCCGTTACTGGTTCTCCAGAACTGGTCAGAACCTGCTGTGTACCACCTCTCTTCTGAAGAGAACACAAATCCAAGTGCAATCAGAAATCTGATTTATTGACATGAAAAAAAGAAGCACTCTTTATATCTTCTCTGTTAATATGGCATGAATGTGGACTGATCAGGTAGGGATAGGACATTGGAAGCAAGGTTTTGCCCATGTATGTACATGGATGTTTATACTTTGGCCCTTTCTTTCTGCCCTCTAGCCAAGCTGAATTTATTATTATTTTTTTTAAAAAAA